AACTCTTTTAAAACAATTTCAGATATTCTTTTTTTTGGCACTGGGGATCGAACTTGGGTCCTTGTGCTTGCAAGGCAGGCAGTGGCACCACTGAGCTAAATCCCCGGCCCTCAGATATTCTTGAGTATGATTAGCATGCTCAAATATTCTTTTGCAAGGTTTAATTTTTAAGAAACTCATCTTCATATTAAAAACCATGTTATTAAGTACTTCAAGAAGTATTTATTTACTTAAAATAACTTTGAGTTACAAGAGCTTCATGTTTTCAAGAAATCACTTTTACTCCTAAGATTCTTACCTTTCTGAATTTATGCAGTCCCACCGACGTATTAATTACTCTCAGAAAGATATAGTACAGTCCCAAGATATATCATGCAGCCCCCAGCACTAAAACAAATCAATTTTAGCTGCAGTAATTCTCCACAGAGCACCATGTTGTAGACAAGGCAGATAAACGTCTGCAAACCTAGTAAATCTACTCATAAAGTGGATCATCTTGAAGTAGAAGCAAATTCATGAGTATAATGCTTGCTTTTGGTACCTCACTTATTTTCCAGTTTGCAGATTACTTTAGTGAGAAACAATACCAACAGCAAACAAAGCTAAAAAAAATAAATAAAAAATAAAAAACCCACCACAAATTTCAAACTGATGCTGTTAGTATAAAAAAGAAAGGTTGACACATCTCAAAGCGCTGATCAACACCATCATGCATCTACCACTGAAGGTTAAAGCCCAACACCCAGTATTTAACTATTTGATCTTCACAGATCAAGCAAGGATTTAAAATCATCTCACGTGCAACAGTCTTTGCATAGCACCCCTTTTATCCATGCCACAAAATGGTAAATTTAGTAGTTACCAATAAATAAGTTGGGGGTCAAAGGGACTAAAGCCTTAGACTGCTCTTTATCATAAGATATCCTCAGACAAACCTCCCCATTCTTCATTCTGGCTCTATAAAATTAAGGAGCAGAGAAACACTGGTAAGTGCCTGACTTTACAGAAAAAAAGCCATGCTATTATTTCCTTTGTCATTATATGTGTGTGTTTATATAATAAATCCTATGGCATTGCATCATCTCCCCACTACCACCTCCCTCCCCAATCTATCTTAAAATATATGCATGGGGAGTATTCCAAGCACTGCAAAGAATATCAATTTAGTAATCCCAGCATGTTATACCTTAAAATTTAACAGTCAACTTCAGTACCAGTGGCATGTTAAGATGATGTTATAAATATCAACCATTAAACATCAAAAGTTGGATAATGGGCCAATTTCTGGGCTTTCCTCACAAATCTAATTATGTAGTCACATAATCAAAATACCAAAAGGAACAATAAACAGAGAGTTCAGTATATAAATGCCAAAAATGATCCCATATTTACCAAGTAATTAAGCACAATGTAAAAGGTATTAGAATTTAATCACAATGTCCATTGATAGTTTAACAATTATTCAAATCCACATGTATTATATTCTTAAAACTATGTAACTGTTAATATGCTAACAGAAAATCTACTTTAGCCAAACTGTCTGCCCCACTTGCCTATAAAATTAAAGCCTACCTAAATTATGTAATACGTATACAAATTAGGCAAAAGGGAAAATTGTAGACAATTTTTCTCAATAAACATTTTTTTTTTTTTTTTGGTACTGGGGATTGAACTCAGGTCCTTGTGCTTGCGGGGCAATGTGCTTGCGAGGCAGGCAGTGGAACCATTCATTGAACTAAATCCTTGGCCCTCAATAAACTTTCTTAAGGATAGAAATGTGTATTTCACAAATTAAAAAAGAATGAAAAACAAACTAATTTTGTGCTTTGCATATATCTTTAAGCCAACAGCTGTAAATTCACTGTAAGTTTAAAGTTTTCTTTAGCACTAGGAATAATAAAAATAAAATACCTGATACTAAATAAAAAAATCATATCCATGAAAACTTAGATTAAAATCAAGTAGTAAGTGCTTCTAGTACAAAATTCAAAGCTGTATTTAGCTAAGCACCTTTCCAGCTATAGTAACAATTTTTGAAGAAAAATAATTTCATGATATTGACTAAATGAATACTATACCCCAAACTATAAGCCCCACAAAGCTATTACAGATCTATACAACCAGTAAAAAACTCTAACTATGGCAATGAAGATCCTTAGTCTAAGAAGTCACAGATGTAATTTGCCTTAGGAAAAAATATACTCTTACGTTTTTATTCTTGAGTACATTCAATACTCAAACGTCATCAGGTAAACCTAGGAACACTGTCATATTATATTGTATATTTCCAGTAGCATTTAAAGGCACAGGGAACTATCCATGCCTTAAACTTACTCTCTAGGAAAAACATTATAAATAAAAGCTGGGGGCGGGAATTAAGCTCAGTGGCAAGCACAAGATCCTGAGTTCGATCCCTGGTACCAAAAAAAAAAAAAAAAAAAAAAAAAA